CCAGCCAATTGAACCACCAGCAAGGGCAATGTTCTCATAATTTTTAAATTCATCCGGATTTTGTTTTTGGACTATGTTATGAGATAGGGGTCCAAGTTCTGTTCTTCCAGGTGAATTGCCTTGTACCATTTGCTTGTACCTCATACTATGATTTTTATCTCCTGAATTAAAATACAATGTACCATTGCTACATTGGGATCAATTTTGGTTTCACCGTTCTGTCTCAATAGATTGTCTAGTTCTGGGTGGGTACCATACTGTGATCATGATAGCTTTCCAGCATACTTACATGTCTGGCAAGTCAAGGTCCTCTTTACTAGTCTTCTCGTCCATGATCTTTGCTGCTCTCATTTATTCTTTCATTTGAACATTGAAAACATTCCTTCCATTTTCAGAACACTCCCTGTTGGGGTTCTAATTGAATATGAACTGCCCTCTGTGAATGTGACATTGTATAATACTAATTTACATGACTTCTTTCTTCCTAACCTTGTGGTCTGTCTTTCAGATGGCTTTCATCTCCTTTCTGGACCTTCATATAACTCCTTTGGTTTTTGTGTAAAATTTGTTTCTATGAATTGTATAATTTTTCACATTACTATGAATGGTATTTTCCCCCATTTTCATTTCCAGCTGATTTTTTTGTCAAATACAGAAATGCTGTTGGTATTGTATGCGGTTACATGCCTAGGAAAGACAGGAGATAAAAATATATAGACACAGATTTATATAAATATATAAGCTATATTTAAAAATCAAAATATTAATAATAATATATTTAAATATAGAATATATAGATATACGAGGGGAGACTTAAAAACCCCCCGGAATTATCTTCTGGAGGTGGGCCCCTTGTGGTACAGACTTCCTCCACTAGGTGTGTTCCAGAGCCCATCTGTAACAGTGTGCCAACTGTCATTGTTGTGAGAGGCTGCACTTGGCTTCAGTGAATTTGTTTTGAAGACTCTTTCAGCATGTTTACCCATTTCATGATGGGTGATTTATGAGTGCACCTGCCCACACCATGCTGAATGTTCAGCAGTTTTTGACCCAAAATGGCATGACCCCTGTGCCCCACCCTCCCTATTCACCCAATCTCATCCTGAGCGACCTTTTCTTTTTTGTTACCCTGGATAAAAAAGCCCTAAAAGGGAAACGTTTGAGGTGAAACAAAAACAGCAGAAGCACTAAAAGGCATCAAAATCGGTGAGTTCAAAAATTGTTTCGAGCAGTGGAAAAAAAGTCTTGATAGGTGTATTGTATCAGATAGAGAGTACTTTGAATGTGACTGAAGTTTAAACATGTAAGAATAAATACAGTTTTTTACAAATAAACTACAGGCTTTTTGGGTCCCCCCCCATCATATATGTTTATATAAATATATATTTTAAAATTAGAATATCTTGGTTCTTCTAGGTAGACTATCTCTACACCAGCTAGCTCTCTTATTGAAATGTTTACACTAATCATTCTAGTCCTTGTCATCCCACTTGCTCTAACCACCAAGAGTGATGCCTGCAGTGAGGGTGGCCAACTGTGCATCTTGTTCTTTCCTTTAATAGAAATGACTAGGATTTCACCACTAAAAGTGGCATTTGTTGTGGTTTTGTGGTTAGCCTTATTGTATTTATATACTATTCTATTTATTTTTATAAGTTTTTATTATTAGAAATAGCCATTGCAGACTCTGGCTGGCTAGCTCAGTTGTCTAGAGCATTGTCCTGTTATGCCAAGGTTGTGGGTTCAGTCCCTGGTCAGGGCACGTACAAAAATCAACCAATGAATATATAAATAAGTGGGGACGCCAATGTTTCTCTTTCCCTCTTCCTTCCTCTGTCTCTAAAATCAATAAATAACAAGTTTAAAAAATAGCCATTGCATTTTATAAAACACCTTTTGGGTACTTTTTGAAAAATCAATATGCTGTCTTTTAACTTCCAGATGTAATGAATTACCTTGGGGATTTAGAGATATGGAACCATTCTTACATCCTTGCAATAAATCCTATTTGGCTATAATATTCTGTTGATACCTGGTCATGTTTCTTTAGGATATCTGCATCTTACCTATGAGTTTGCATTTTCACAATCCATAAAAACTCATGTGACTGCCCCTAAAGCCTCCTCATAACCCTTCTCAGCCACTCACAGCCTGTCTTCTAATAGCAGAACTTCACTTCCTCTGTTCCCTTTTTAATTTCCTATACTTGGAATAACCAATTTGTCCTTTTTTATCTTTCACTTAAAATAATGTATCTGAGATACGTGTATATTGCTGAGCTCATTCTCCTTGCTGTGTTGAATGGTATACATTGGTTTACAAATAAATCAACATTCTTATTGATATTTATTTATACTGATATGTTGTTAATATATAGTTGATATATTCATTTTTCTGTTGATGGGCATTTGTATGGTTTCTGGTTGGGGATGAGTATAAACACTTAAACCTCTTTAGTATATTTGTCAGCATGGATTGAGTTGCCTTCAAGAAACTGACAGTTTCCCCAAGTGGTCCATTTTTTTAATTTTAGCTGTTCTTTTGGGACTAGACACCATTTCTGATGGCTGGATAGAATGCTCCTGTACAAGTGTTCTATTGATGAATTTAAGAACCTCCTGTTGATAAGCATTTGAGTTGTTTTCAGTTTAAAAAAAATTTTAATCCTCACCCAAGGATTTCTTTATTGGGTTTTTTTAGAGGGAGGGGAAGAGAGAGAGAGAAAGAGAAACAGCAATGTGAGAAACACCAATTGGCTGCCTCCCATAAATGCCCCAAGAGGGAATTGAACCCATAGGTATGTGCCCTGACCAGGGATCAAACCAGCAATCTTTTGGTTTATGGGACAATGCGCCAACCAACTGAGCCACCCAGCCAGGGCTGTTTTCAGTTTTTTCTCTTCTAAACAATACAGTGATGAAATTCTAGAACAACCTTCTTTATGCACTTGTAATGGAACCCCTGTCAATCACCTTTTTGGTTATTTCCAGTTGTTTTGTTTTTATGCACAAAATAACACTGGAATAAACTTTCTTGTATATTCATCTTTGTGGGCTTAAAAGTTTTTTTGTTTTCTTGAGATTTTAGATTTTTTGCCTTTTTAAAAAAGATTTTATTTATTCATTTTTAGACAGAGGTGAAGGGAGGGAGAAAGAGAGGGAGAGAAACATCGATTTGTGGTTGCTTCTCACGTGCCCTATACTGGGGACTGGCCCACAAGCCAGGCATGTGCCCTGACTGGGAATCAAACCTGTGACCCTTTGGTTCACAGACCAACACTCAATCCACTGAGCCATACCAGCCAGGCCTGCTTTTAATGTCTCTTCTCATGTTGGTTTTGAGGACAGAGCCAGCCCAGGGAGTGTTGTACATTGCATCGGATGAAGGGCTGAAGGCTGGTTACTCTTACAAGCTGGCTTCTGAGATTGCACCTTCTTTTCCTGCTCCTCCTCCAACTCTATGACCCCTCAAGGTATGAAGATGCTGGACAAGGGTCTAGCTGGTCTAGTCAGAAGGGGGGAACTTTGGCCAAACATAGGCTCCAAGTTATGCATCAGGGTTGCTTGACAGCATCCCAATTCTCTCTGCACTAAGGTACTTCTGAAAACTACAGTCATCTCCTCAATCTTCCTTCTACCCATCCTTCCATCTGCCATTTATCTATCAGTCATCCACCATCTATTCACTAATCTAGTCATCAGTCCACCAATGGTCTCTTCACCAATTCCTTCAGGTCACTCCACTCACACACCCATTTATCTACTCAGATTTCATCTGTCCATTCACCCATCCATGTATCCATTCATTCATTTATTCCTTACTCCCTCTACTCATCCTTCCAATCACTCACACATTCATTTATCCATCCATCCATTCATCTATCCATCTATCCATCCATTCACCAATCTACTCATCCATCCATTCATGTACTCATCTACCCATCCATCCATGTATTATTATTCCATCCATTCCTCCTCCTACCTACCCACTCATTCATCCATCTACCCTTTCATCCATCCATGAGTTCATTTCTTTATTTATTGATCTGTTCATAAATCCATCAACTTCATTTATTCAGCCATTCTTTCACTGAACCCTCCATCCATCCCTCCAACTGAGGGTTCATCCACTGATGTACCTTACCAGTATTTAGTCATGCATCCATCTATCCATCCAACTTACTTTTTTAAAGATATTTTTAAAATTTATTTTAGAGGGGAAGGGAGAAAGAAAGAGGGAAAGAAACATTGATGTGCGAGAGATACATCAATCAGTTGCCTCTTGCATACCCCCAACTGGGGACCTGGCCAGCAACCCAGGCGTGTACCCTGACTGGGAATCAAACCAGCAACCTTTTGGTTCGCAGGCCAGCAGTCAATCCACTGAACCACACCAGCCAGGGCTATCCATCCAAATTTCAACTCACTCACCCATTCATTTATTAGTCAAGTTAGTCACTCACCCAATACCCACCCATTCACAGCCTAGAGCCACACCCTATGACTGAGACGAGGTAAAATAAGTGACTCAGACCTGTTTCTTGCCCTCTAGAAATTTATAGTCAATTAGGAGAGGCAAATAACAATAACACACACACACAAACAGTATGATCAGTGCTGTACTCATAATATGTTCCAGATTAGGTGGCCAAGAGGCCAAGACAGAGAGGGCATGTAATGAATGGGAGAAAGAATGCAAGGTGCCAGGAACAAGGTCTACATCCTAGGATGAACACTTGCTCCAGCCAGGACCCCTCTTGTCTGCATGACTCCACTCTCTGACCACCTCCCTGCCACCCTCCACAGGCAGAGTTGATCAGCCTAGGAACCAAGACAATGCAGCAAGCAACACAGTTACAGTTGTTACCCAGTGGACAGAGCTCCTCCCAGCCCCAGCCCACCCCCAATTTTCAAGACAAAGCGGGGACACTGTGTTCACAACCTCAGTGTGAGCAGCCTGCATCCAGGGAGACCCCCCTGCAACAGCCAGATAAGGATAAGATGGTGCCTCGCCGCATTCCACGCCTCCGGGCTGTGGTCGAGAGCCAGGCCTTCAAGAACGTCCTGGTGGATGAGATGGACCTGATGCAGTCTCATGCAGCCACCCTCATCCAAGCCAATTGGAGGGGCCACCGGCTCCGGCAGAAGCTGATTTCCCAGATGTTGGCAGCTAAAGCCATCCAGGAGGCCTGGCGACGCTTGCATACCAGGCGCCTCCTCCGGTCTGGCAAGGAAGTGGAGAAAAAAATGAGCATGGACGAGGGGGATATCCCTTACCATCCCCCCCAGCAGGTGCGGTTCCAGCCTGCAGAAGAGGGCAAGCTCCTCCCTGCCCCACCTGTCATGGTGAGTAGGGAGACCCAATCTCCTTCTGCTCCCGTCTCAGCTGCCTGCACCCACCAGCTGACCCTGGGGCAGCCTCCAGGCATTCCACAGCCTGGCGTGCAGGCTCCGTGTGCCACTGGAGGCCCAAACATCACTTTCCAGCCACAACAGACTATCTCCATGAGACTTCCATGTCCAGCGAGTCCAGATGCAAAGAACCACCCACGTCTGCTAGCAAGAACTATCAGAAGTACTAGTCTCATCCACACAGAAGGTGACACAATGAGAACCAAGCAAGTGATTACCAGAGCCAACAAGGGAGGAGCCCTGGGGCCACCACCATGTGGAAGGTGTGCCCAGGAACTTCACAGACCCCTCAAGACCCAGACCCAAGGCCCTGTGGAAGCAGAGGTCCTCAAAGCCTCACCCCACACAGGCCAAGCATCCGTGATGACCAAGACCCCACTCCAGTCGTGTTTGGCATCCATGATGAACAAAACCCTACCCCAGCCTTGCCAAGCACCCACAGTAACAATAACCAAGACCCCACCCCAGGTAGACCAAGCAACTCCAGTGGTCAAGACCCCGCTCCAGTCATGCCTGGCAGCAATCTTGAACAAGAACTCAGCCCAGCCATGCCCGGTACCCTCAATAATGATAACAAAGACCCCACCCGAGCCGTGCTTGGTGGCTCCAAAGACCAAGACTCCAGCTCAGATGCGACCAACAGCCTCGATGACCAACACTGCATCCCAGACACAACCAGCTGCTATGTTGGCCAAAATCTCACCCCAGATATGCCTGTTGACGTCAATGATCAAGCCTCCAGCTCAGACATGCCCGGTGCCCATGGTAGCCAAGACCCAGCCCCAGACATGCCAGGTCCCTGTGATGCCCAAGACTCCACCCCAGACATGCCAGGTACCCATGATGGCCAAGACCCGGCCCCAGACGTGCCCATCAGCCACAATGGCCAAGACTCCACTGCAGACATGTCCAGTGGCTACAATGGCCCAAACCCCATCTCAGACACTCCCAGGGGCCTCGATGACCAAGATCCCTCCCCAGACACGTCTGACAGCCATGATCACCAAAACGCCAGCCCAGTTACGTTCAATGGCCACCATCCTCAGGACGCTGTGCCAGACCCCTTCTGCAGCTGGAAATCTGAAGGCTTCACCTCCAGCAGTTGTGGCAGCTGGGATTCCCAACACCTCATCGCATACATGTCTGAATAGACCAAAGGCCAAGGCTGTGGTGACTGGGAGGCAGACAGCTGGCATGGTCAAAGTCTCATCCCATTCACACTTGACTGAGGGAAAGGTGAAATACTGCCCCCCACCACATTTGGGGGCTGGGGCTCCCAAGGCTCTGGCTAGGCCTTCTTTGGAAGGTGAGAAAATGAAGGCCTTCTACCAGAAACAGGTGAAAACAGCAACCATGTCTAACACCAGTGTGGCCAAGGACAGGAGCAAGGTCTTATCGCAGGCACAGCTGAAGAAAGATGTTGTGAAGGTTCAGTCCAAGGTGTACATGCCTGTAGAAATGAATGTGGTTCTACCCCAGGCACAGCTGGGCACCCGTCCAGCTAAGGCCCTGCCCCAGGCACAGATGGCCACCTGTTCAACCTCAGCCTCATCCCGTGGACATCTGTTTGCCAAGCTGTCTGTAGCCCTGCCCCAGGCAAATCTGGGCACCTGTCTGTCCAAGCCCCCACCCCAGGCACATCTACCTGCCAAGCTAAGTAAAGCCCGGACCCTGGCCCATCAGGGCACGTGTCCAATCAAGACGCAGTCCCGGACGTATCTGACCACAGGAGTGATAAAGGTCCAGTCTCAAGCAGATCTGCCAACCAGGCAGACCAAGGCCCAGTCCCAAGTGCCGCTGGTCCCAGAGACAGCCAAGTGCCCCTACACTGCCCATCAGGCCACTGAAGAAGGCAAGACTCAGTCCCAGCCACCCCTGGCTGGGTTCAAAGCTTCTGCCCAGCCCTGCCAACAGGCTGGCCCTTTTGGCACTTTGTCCCGAGCCAAGCCAGAGGATAGACTGACCCAGCTCCCAGCCCATGGCTATGCCCAGGGTAAAGCTCCCCAGGGCCCACACCAGGAGGCCTCTGAGACCCAGAGCATGCTGGTGCCTCTGCTGGCATCCACTGGACATCTCACATGCAACGTTGAATCCTGTGGTGACAGCGGGACCGCCTGGGCCCAGCCATCAACCACCAGCCCAGCTGCACCCTGTCAGGAGGAGCTGGTGGCCTCCCAGCTTGCCTCACTGTGTGCTGAGCTGGCCGCTGTGCTGGGCTCTCAGGATGACCTCCGTGATCTGCTGGCAAAAGCTCTCTCCCAGGGGGAAGTGAGGGCAGCACTGAACCAGGCCCTGTCCAAGGAGGTCCTGGGCACCATGATGGCCAAGGTCCTGCCCCAAGGCATGCTGGGCACAGCACTGGTGAAGGCGCTGTCCTGGGGCGAGCTGGGCGCTACACTGTCCCGTGCCCTGTCCCGGGGTGAGCTGCGGGCAGAACTCACTAAGGCCATGCAGGGCAAACTGGGGGATATGCTCAGCAAGGCTCTGACGGAAGAGGAGTGGGCCACCCTGAACCAGGCCCTGTGTCAGGGTGAGCTGGGTGCCATCCTGAGCCAGTCCTTGTCTCAGGCGGCCCTGAGGAGTGGACTCATCCTTCCTAAGGCTGCCTCGAAAACATTGGAAAGTGGGATGACGGTGACACCGGCCCCAGTGGAGGTGACCTACAGGGGGAGCCCGTCAGCTGCGTGGGGGCCCACCCTGGGCTGTGTGAGACCACAGACCAGCAAGGTCAGGGTTCCCCTGGGTGGGGCCTGGGAAGGCTTTGTCACAGGCTGGCCAGCTGGGCTGTTGGAGGAAATGGGGGATGGGGCCCTGGTTTGGGGGTCACCCTGCTTGTCCATGGTTTTGGTGGGCACCTCCTTGGTCAGTAGGGTGATCACCACCATTCTTTAATTTCCCCTGATCGCTGGTTTGGACCCAACTCTGTCATGGAAGATGGGGCTCCCCAGGGAATGCTTACACCCAGGAACTGGCAAACTGGCATCTGATCTCAAGAGCAGGGCAAGTGATACAGGCCCCAATTTGCCTGCGTCACTCCCCCTGCAGCTGCCCCACCAGCTGTGGCAGCCGCTCATTGCCAGTGGCACGACCCCAAACACCAGCTGGTCATTGGTGGCTGGTGGCATGGCCCCAAGCTCCCACAAGCCACATGTGGCCAGCAGGGTGGCCCCACATCTGTTGGTGTCATTGCGGGAGGGCAGGATAGCCCCAGACAAGCTTGCCAGCTCTACAGGTGGTAGGAGGGCCATCCCTTCCCACCAGTGTGCCACTGCCTATGGGGGTCCTGCTTGTTGCTCTCAACCCTCTGGAGTCACCTGGGGGACCCCTGGGCTGTATTGGCCATTAGCAGCCAAAAGTCGGCAACAGCCATTTGTGGTCTCTGAAGAGACCACACAGAGGACTCAGTCCCTAAATCATAAACAGGCCTTTGTTGGGCAGTAGTGAGATGATCCACAAGGTGACTTCAGGTCTACTGAGGGCCACCACAGTGAGCAATGTGCCCCTAACCCAACCACAGACCCTTAAGGCCTGTGACAGAACCCCAGACCCTCTGCTTGGCTCCATGGTTCCTGGTCATCACGGGGCATCCAAGAGTCAGGGAGAAACCAGGCTGTTGGAAGCCTCCCCAGGAAGCTGGTTAAAGCCCACCCACACTGCCATCCCTGGGCAGGAGAAAAGTCAAACATGGGGTATCGTTTCTGGCATGCACTGCCCACAGCAACTGGTAGCTCAGTGAACTGGTGGCCCATTTGCCACAGTGTTCACACAGAGACCGAGCCAGAAGCTTCTCCCAGGGTACAGACTAGGGCTTAAATGTGAGCAATTCCTAGAACTCGTTGTTCTAGGCTCACTCAGCCTTCCCACCATGCCTGTGGCCAGCCTAAGCTCTGTCGACCTGCTGGAGGAGTCCAGAGAGGCCAGCCCTGATGGGGGCTTCCTCTTTGGAGAGGCCATGGGGAGGTTCCAGAGGCCTGGGGACCTGGAAGAGATGGAGAGAGTAGGCCATGGGCACGTGACCCCAAACCTGCACCACCTGCCTTCCCCAGCCTCAGAGGTGATCCCCACTTTGCACCACAGCTCAGTGTCCAGTCATGCGACCTTGAGTGTCTACTGGGGGGCTCAGGTGGTCAGGATGAGAGAGGCATGTCCTCAAACCAAAACTTCGTGGGTCCAAAAGGCAGCTTGTGCCAGAAACCCGACAGGACAGGGCTGAAGCAAAGTCTGCCTTTAGGTGATGTGGTCCCTCCCTCATATCAGCAGCCAGCTTTGACCAGTAAGTTGATCCCAAGCCTATCCCAGCCATCAGTTGCCAGTAAGGTGGCCCCAAACCCTGGCCAGCTTTCTATGTCCAGTAAGGATCCCTCCAGCCTAACTGAGCCTTCTATGGCCTCTAAGGTGACCCTCAGCCTAGGCCAGTTATCTAATGCCAATGGGGTGAGCCCTAGACTAGCTTAGCCATCTGTGACCAGCGGGGTGACTCCTAGCCCAGCCCATGCAAATACGGGCAATAGTGTGGCCCCCAGCTTAGGTCAGGCATCTGTGATAAGGGGTGTAGGTCATCCACTTGGCCAGTCTGGGCCACTTGGCCAGTCTGGATTCAGATCTATCATCAAGGGTGAATGCAGTGGCCCTTGTCTGTGCAATTCACCCTTTCTGACTGAAGTCACCTCAAATACACCACATCCATCTAGGGCTGGCAGCACGGGCCAGGGGCTGAGCCAGCTGTCTCTGGTCACTGGAGCAGATCCATGTCCAGATCATCTGATGGATCACAAGGTGACCTCAAACTTCCAGGCCCCTAGGCCCAGGGAGGTGTCCCCTGGGCTTCATCATCCACTTGGTGTTGGTAGGGGGTATCCAAGCACAACAGAATGTTCTGCTGTCACTGTTTCACCCCCAAACCTCTGCTAGGCATTCTGTGGGCAGTGGAGAGGACTCTTGTCTAGGCCAGGGAACCAGAATGTCTCAGGGCTTTCTATTCAGGGGCCTGGCTATAGGCACATCTCAGGGCACTGTGGCTGCTGGCAGGCTCCCAAATATATCTTGGGAGACCCTGGCTGATGGCAATTTCCCAAGTGTGTCTCAGGGACCTGTGTCTCCTGCCATTACAAGGAGTATGTGCCAGAGAAGTGTGGCAACTGCTGTGGGCCCACGGCAACCTCAGGTGGGCAGTGGCATGGCTCCCATGGCACCCTGGGCTTCTGTGACAGGTACCCCTTGGGTTCATAAACGAGCCTCAGGGGTGGACCCTGACTTCTCTCAGGCTCTAGTGCCCAATGGACTGGTCTGAGGCCACTCAAGTTCTCCCCGGCCACTGGGGGCCCTAGCGTATCTCAGGTCAGTGTTGATCTCCCAGTACCTATGGACCACCAGCAGCGTCCTGTGTCCACAGCCGCCTCATCCAGTCATCAACAAGCAAATGCTTTCAGCCAGGAGCCTGTGACAGGCATGGCCAGTCTTCTGGTGCCAGATTCTGTAGCCAATAGAATGACCACAGCCATGACCTTAGGTACTGTGGTTGGTGGCATGGCCCCCAGCCCTCCCACAGGGTCTATGATCAGGGGTGTGGGCCAGAGCCTTCCTGTGATCAGTTGTGTGCCCCCCAAGCTTCCAATAGGTTGCACAGTCAATTGTGTGGCTCAGACCCTACCCTCAAGCTCCCGATTAGTGACATGGGCCATGGTCTTCCTCCAGGTTCTGTGGTCAGAGGCAGGAGCCATAGTCTCGCTCCGGACTCCATGACCGGTGGCATGGGCAAGGGCTGTCCCCCAGATCCCATGGCCAGTGCTGTGTCCCACAGCCTCTCTCCAGGCTCTGTGATCAGTGGTGTGACCCAGAGCTTTCCTCCAGGTTTCGCAGCCAGTGGCATGGCCAGGACCTAACTCTAGGTTCTGTGGTGAGCAGCATGCTTCCCAGACTGATTACAGCACCTGGTGCTGGTGGGAGGAAACAGTGTCTCTTTGTAAGACACTCTGCTAGGCTAACCTCTCCAAGCCTGCTCCTAGGTTCAGTGGCAAGTAGGATGGGCCCCCATGTCTCTTCCAGTTCTATGGTGGCTAGTGTGCTTATGACTGGGGAGCTGAGTCAGGGCCTAGTTCTGAGGTCCATGGCTATGGTAGCTAGTCCACCCCTCACAGCTGGAAGCGTAGCCTATAGCCTTCCCCAGGGGTCCACGCCCACTGGACTGACCCCTTGTACTTACCATGGAGCCCTGGCTGAGGAGGGGTCTACAGTTCCCTTTCAGGTGTCCTATGCCACTAGTGTGGCTCAAGCTCATCCCCATGCCTTAGAAGCTGGTGGCAGAGCCAGAGGAGTGCCCACAGTTCTGCAAAAAGCCTCACAGTTGAGCGACCTCTTGGGACAATGGCCATTGGGACCTAAGACGGCCAGGCCAGGATGAAACTGGAAGACCTGAACGAGGCTCTGTCCCAGGGGTCCAGATCCACAGGGAGTCCATGGTCCTTGAGGCAACCCCACGGATGTCCGAGAGCCCCCAGGCACCTGATATCAACTATGGCCATGAATTCCTGGCAGAGGACAAGATTGTTCCCAAAGGCCCAAGGCTGCCATTGGAGGAGGTGGCTCCCTGCCAAGGCAGGTCATGATGAGTGGCATGGACCCTGTCCCTTCCCAGCCCCCCAAGTTTTACCAAGCACCTCAAGGCTGGCTGTGTCATCCCAACTCTGTAGCAGAGGTCAGCAACCAGTTGGGGAACTTAGTTCCCACTTTGTGACTTCTCATGGGGTCCCCTGTGTGCAGATGGACACGGGGCCTCCCTTGGTTCACCAGGCATCAGTGACTCGCATCGTGCCCCAGAGCCCCTTGGCCACTCCCACTGTCCCCAAGAGCCTGTTGGCCACCATCACAGTCCCCTGCAGCCCCGCAGCTGCTCATTTCCCCTGGAGCCCCTTGGCTTCTCACATGCCCTGGAGCCACTCCCAGGAGTGGGTGACTTCTAGAATGTCAGGGGCACCCAAGCTGGGCCAGGGCAGTTCTGTGGCATCCAGTTTGCACCTGGGGTCTGTGTCTGGGATGGGGACCGCAAGCACTTCCTGGAGGTCACCAGAGGTCAGGGGCCACCAGTGTGGCCGCACATATGCTATCGTGTCCATCTGAGGCCAGTGGCATGCCATCCGGTGGGTCCAGGTGGAAGCTGTCCCCAGTGCATTTCAGGAGCCAATGTCTGGGAACTGGCTCAGGGCAGCCACCACGAGCTCCTTGGCTCTGGAAAGTCCTCTAGGTCCACGAATGGTGGCTTTGTCTCTAGAGTGCTAGACAGTTCTGTAGCCAAGACTGGGTCCTCCCAGCAGGTTGGGGAGCATGCCTCCAGCCCTGCACAGGAAGGTCCCAAAATCTCCATGGGCGCACTGCCAGACATAAAGCCCGTTATCTGTATTGGTGACCTGGCTCACAACAGGGCTGTCCCTAGGTTGCACCACAGGGTTTGAGGGATATCTCTTGAATCTTCATCGGGTGGTTCTCAGTGGCCCCTTTGTAACCAGGAGTCACTACAGGGACCTCAGGATTTCCACAGCATCATTGCTTCTGTGGACAGTCACAGGGCACCCCTGACTTCCTCTGTACTACAGGGCCCCGTGGATGCTGGTGTGGTTGGTGGCCAAGCGTGGAAGCCCGCTGTTCCCAGTGTTGCGGTCAGACCCATGAACAGTGCTGAGGCTTGCCGTGGAGCCTGGGCGCCAGTCGGGTGCACTGCGCCATGGGACACCGTGGGCAGCAGGGCAGCAGTGGATCCAAGACGGCTGGGCGAGCTGGTAGCGTCGGTGCAGACTGTGGAGAAGATAATAGTGCAAGCTGTGATCACTATACAGGCATGTGCACGTGGCTACCTGGTTCGCCGTACCATCAGGGTGTGGCACCAGTGGGCTGTCATCATCCAGGCTGCCTGGCGTGGTCACTGCACGCGGCGGAACTTGGCCCAGCTCTGCAGAGCTGCCACAGTCATCCAGGCCACCTGGCGTGGCTACTTCACCCGACAGAGGCGAGCCCAGCAAATGCTGCTCCCTGCCACGTGGGCTGGCGTGGGCGACAGGGTCCGGTCAACCTCCAACCACCGCTGCTTCCAGTCCTGCCAGCCAAAGGCCTGCACCCTCTGCCAGTCGCTGAGTCCCCGGCTGGGGAGCCTGCCCAGTGCAGTGATGCTTGTGGGTTCCAGCCCTCGCACGTGCCACATGTGTGGCCAAACGCTGCCCACACGGGTGGTACAGGGCATGGGCCAGGGCAGTACAAGCCAGGCGGGCACGCCATGGGGCCGTGACACCCAGCTGATCCTCCAGAGCCCTCGGCGGCAGCTCCTTGGCCAGAATAAGGCAGCCATCATCATCCAGTCCGCCTGGAGGGGCTTCATTGTGCGTCGCCGGCTGAGGCAGCAGCAGGTAGCAGCCAAGATGCTCCAAGCCACCTGGCGTGGCCACTATACTCGGGCTTCCCTCACCACAGATGCACTCTTGGGACCGGCGGCGTGGGACAGCCCACAGAACATGCAGTGGCCAGGAGTCTAGGACCTGGCCTGGTGGGGTCACAGCAGGGGAGGTGCAATGTGACTCTCTTGGTCTAATGAATAAAGCCCTCCCCAGCCAGGGTCTTGTTCTGCCTGTGCTCCTACAGCTATCTTGGGCATGGGTGTGGGGAGATGGGTGGAATCTAGAACACTGTGGACTGGGAGGAGACCCTAAACTTCTAACCACCCACGGTCTTTGTCTGAGATGAGAACCCAAGCCCTTCCCAGAGGTCAGGGGCTTCCAGTGTGGCTGCTGAATCTGTCCATGCCTGGTGGGGTGGTGTCCAGTCTGATTTAGATGGAAGGTGTCCCTAATGCACTTCGGAAGCCAGTGTCTGGGAACCTGGCCCAGAACGGCCACCACAAGTCCCTTGGCACTAGAAAACCCTACGGGTGAATGCATGGTGCCTTTTCTTTTAAAGGAAATTCTGGGGGTTCCAGCCATGTACGAATTTGGTGAGATGCTGGGCTTATCCCCAGGGGGATCCAGTCTGGGTGAGAGAGAACTAGACAGAGATGTTCCCAGCCCATGGTTCAGGGACAAGGCAGGACAGGGCATGGAGGGGGAGAAGGGGCTGCAAGCACCCAGAGGGGCAACCTGGTTGGAGGAGGGGCAGAGAGGGTGACGGCATGGGTTTAGGGCGGCTATGGAGGCGGCCACAGAGTGGTAGGGGCTGTTGGGGGAGGGGAACTGGAAGGAGCAGGAGTGTCCTGAAGGCATGGGCAGAATCTCAGGGCTTGGGGGTCATGCTTCAGGTAGGATTTTTAGGCAAGGTGGGGGTCAAGTGTAAAGGGGGCCCGGTATGGCACCCCTGAGAAATGTAGCACCCCCATAGGCCCCATGTCCTGAGGCCCCACCTCTGCCTCTCCCCTGTGCAGGTGTATAAAGCAGCCAGCTGGCCACGCACCTGGCCACTCATGACACCTGTGCAGAGCCTGCCCTTCACCCTCCCCAAACTGGACTGCTGGGCTCCCAGCTGCTACCACCTCTTCTGCTGCTGGCTCTGGTGCTGCTGCTGCAGCCCCACGTAAATTTCTCTGCTTTGTTGACACCCCTACAGGTGAGAACAGGTAAGGAAGAAGATGGGCTTCTAGAAAGCTGGAGGGGTGCATTCTGCCCAGCCATACACCTGGCATTTGGGCCTCTTCCTCAGGCCACACTGGTCTGCCAGCTACCCACCCCAGAGGGGCAGCTCCTCCCAGAAGCAAGGTGGGGGGCTCATGAGAACAGCTGAATCACCTCCACCCCTGCACCCCCCATGCCCACTCTGAGGCTGCCACTTCTGCAACTGCAGCCTAACCGGAGCCAGTAAGAGGCTGTGACTGCCTCACACGCAGTTTGAGGTTCCATTTAAAACCCGTTTTTGCTAGCCAGACCCCAGGTACATGGGCATGGAGGACAAGGGCTCACTTCCTGGTCACTGAGCATCTGAGGCTCCCAGGAGAGGTTCTTGGCACCTGACTAATTTCTTCTGCTGCCCTATAAGATGGTTCCAAGGGCGAAGAACTGAACTTCTTTTTTCTAAAATTTATTTTAAGTTACAGTTGATATACAATATTATATTAGTTTCAGGTGTACAATATAGTGTTTCAACAAGAGCTGAACTCTTGCCCTGGCTGGCATGGCTCAGTTGGTATTGTTCTGCAAAGTGAAGGTCGCTGGTTCAATTCCCAGTCAGGGCACATGCCTGGGTTGCAGTCCTGGTCCCATTGTATCTATATATCTCTCGCACATTGATGTTTCTCTCCCTCTCTTTCTCCCTCCCTTCCTCTCTTTATTTATTTACTCTAAAAGTAAATAAATAAAATCTTTTTTTAAAAGATCCACTCAGGACAGAGTGGACAGGATGGGGCAGGGAGAGACTGGCGAATGAACCTGCAAGCAGCTGACGTGCCCGGCAGCCTGGGACTGGGAAGGGAGTAATTGTGGGAGGTGGCCCATGAAATATTTACCCGCTCTCAGCCTGGCTCTCGGGCTCCGTGCCTGGGAGGGGCTTCAGACAAAGAGCTTCAAACAATGGCACCTCATTTCCCACTGTACTAAATCCCCCAGGTCCTCACAGGGAAAGAAGGCATCCAGAGAGGGGACTGGGGCTGAGGCCACCCACCCTTGTTCCTAATCATCCTCTCCCTGTCCCTTCTGGTATTTTCTTTCCAGAAGTTATGAGAGAGACTGAGACTTCAACTTCCAGACTTTGGATTGCTCTCCTAGTTCTGTGGAAACCTCCATCAACCACTTAAGCCCCTCCCACAGCCCCCAGGCCGGCTGCACCATCCATTTCAGCACCCCTAGTTCAGGGGCAGACTCTACAACCCCCCCCCCACCACAGCCCCTTAAATTCAGAGCAACCCCACCAGCAAGCCCAGTTCTAGCTCCACAAGTGTGGGGCTGGTGCCCACCTCCCCAGAACCAGAGACAATCCCCTACCCTAGTTCTGGCTTTCCAGTTCAGAGCTCACCCCCATCTCCCACTCCAGCTGGCTGAGTTCCACCTCCTTGACCTTGCACTGGAGGCTGACTTCCCCCAGCCCCAGAGTGGAGTCCTCCCTGCTCTTGGCCACAGCTAAGGGTACTGCTGTGGCCCCGGGGCCCCGGGGTTGTTTGGCTTGTGGGGGTGTGGAGCATGGCTGGCATTACTGGGCTGCAGTTCTGGAATCCGCCTCCAGGGAGAGACACAGACTTGAGAATGTGCAAGGAAAGGCTGCACCCCCCCCCCCCCACCCCGGTATTGCCTGAAGCTCTTCAGAACTCCATTTCATGCACACTTATTAAGTGCCTAACGTGTGTCTCATGCTGTGGGACACAGCTATGTTGGAAGAGAGGTTATGAGTAAATTTCATATGTGTTTATAAAAGAACAAAATAAAACAAAATAAGAGGTAGGGATATGAGTGCAAATAGTTTGATGTTTTTAAAAATTGGTCAGCAAAGGTCTTGATTTGAAGGAGGTGAGGGAGGAGCCATGAAGTTATCTAGGGGGAGAGCAGCCAAGGTAACAGGCACAGCCTGTGCAAAGGTCCTGGGGTAGGACTGTCTGGTGCATCTGAGGAAGAGCGAGATGTCTGGAAGTGGTTGGGTAGGGTACTAGTGGGAAGGCGACGAGGGTGGAAAGATTATAGGGTATGACCCCCCCAGGGCCCCAGGGGCTCAGTGAAAGCCAAAAATTTTTAGAGGCACCTAGAAAAATGTGTTACTCAAACTAACATGTCTCCAAAGTGTTCAAAGAAGAGTACAAATGCAAAATGTGATGATCCTTTGCTTAAAGTCACAGGATATACACCATCTTTACAAAGTGTCTCATTTCAGCCCCCAGCCAGGTATCGGGAGCATTGTCCCTATACTGCCAGGTTTTGGGTTCCATCCCCAGTCAGGGCACATATAAGAATCCACCAGCGAGGGCATAAATAAGTGGAACAACAAATTGATCCCTCTCCCTCTCTCTCCCTTCCTCTTTCTCTAAAATCAATAAATACAATTTTTTAAACTGCAAAGTGTCTAATTTCACACGTATTCTCAGAAGGCCACTGCGTTTGTAAACAGTTCTAGATTTTTCTCACTTTGCAAGAGCCCCTGAGTGTAGCCAAGAGAGCTGTGAAAACACAGCAAACCAAATGAAATCCTTGAAGACAAATACACTCAAAAGCAGAAGGATAAAAATGTACCTTAAAAAGGTCAGACAACAAGCAGAGAGGGAAGTAAGCACGGCTTTCTGGGAAGGGACTGAAATGGTTCTGGGCCCTCGAGTGTGTCTCAGCCTTAAAAGGGGTGGGGCCCTCCCCTCAGCTCCCGGTGACACTGGAAGGTGGGCTGGTAGTGGCCTGTGTCTGTGGTGTCCGTTTTGCTCAGTGGGTCTGTATCTCTGCATCTTCATGGGGCCCTCAGACAACAGCCAGGGGGTCAGATGACATCTCTGATGGTTCTGAAGACCACAGTCACAGGCTGGGGCTAGGGCCAGGTCCCAGTGGCCTGTGTGTCCAGGTTTGCTGCCCAGGCAGGGAAGTTTCTCTGGGGAGGCGATAACTGAGCTGAGACCTCAAAGGCCGGAAGGGACCTCCCTGGGGAAAGCCAGGAGGCTGTCCCAGAAATCGGGCACAGAAAGTGAAAAGGCCCCGAGGTAAAAAGAACTTGGGGTGTTTGGGAAACAATGAAGGGGTGTATGGTCCATAGGAAAGAGTATGGGTTATAACCTGAGTGCCACGGGGGAGTTTTCAGCCAGCAAATGCTGGATTCTGGTTGATCTTCCTTCAGGTCTTTAGGGGCAGATAGTGAGTGGGCAGGGAAGGATTTCTAGGAGGCAGGGACAGCCCTGTGCAAAGGCTTAGAGGCAGGAAAGCCCCAGAAGCATGCAGAGAACAGGTAGTCAAAACGCTATCAGGTATCGGGGGCATTGTCCCTATACTGCCAGGTTTTGGGTTCCATCCCCAGTCAGGGCACATATAAGAATCCACCAGCGAGGGCATAAATAAGTGGAACAACAAATTGATCCCTCTCCCTCTCTCTCCCTTCCTCTTTCTCTAAAATCAATAAATACAATTTTTTAAACTGCAAAGTATCTAATTTCACACATATTCTCAGAAGGCCACTGCGTTTGTAAACAGTTCAGTGTTCAGTCCTGCTCTCCAGGTCTGAGCTGGACCCCACTCTTCCCCCTCCCATTGGACAGGAGGGAAAACCGAGCCTTGGAGCTGCTGGCCTGGGGCTGGGGACCATCACAGTCAATGAACTCTTCCTGCTGCCCACTCCCCTCCCCACCAGGACTGCCAGGCTTCTCTAGCAGGGACGCGGAAGCTCCCTGCCCCTTGGCCATGCCTGGGCCTGGAGCAGCCCCCTCAGGGCTGAGTTTACCCTGCTGTGACAAGAGTGGTCCGGGAGGCAGAAGTCAAGGTCACCAGCACATTGAGAGAAAGCCCCCGGAGGGAGGGTCATGCTCTAATGATTCTTGGGGGCAGCAGGTGGCAGTTCTGGTGAAACATTAACTCGAGGCTGCTCGGGAGGCTGCAGC